CAACTAGTTAACTTACTATTCATAATATGAACATATGTGTATATATATATATATATATATAATATATATTTACATATATAAGATTAATCGCGCGAACATCAGCAACGAAACGATCCTTTGTGCTTGCTAGACCAATACATATATCTACCTGAGACGATATATTTGAGTTCTAAAAGTGTCCGGATTTGTCGCGAGAAGGGTCGAAAATTCTAACAAGATTCCAAACCTAAGATCGGATAACATCCCTATGTAATGTGCGTTAATCTTTCAATAAAATGAAGATTTGTGTTCAAAAAATTGACACATGAGACACATGGCGCTCGAAAAGCGCGCGATTAAATTTTAGTCGTGTAGAAAAACGCGAAAATTGGGAATTTAGATTTGTTTTGCGGATACGTAAATAACACGTTTACTTGTCTAAAATCTGCACACTGTCACATTGAGACAATGCTTATCAAAAATTTACATAGTTACTGCCGATCAAGCGTTTCCTCCCGTATTCTAGGAAATTTCTCATTTCTTCTCGAGAGATGAACCGCAGAAGGGGACGTAGTCAAGCGTGCGAACCACAATCGGCACAAGCTTAATGGAGACATCGGTTATCCGTGTCTATTCTCTTTGTGCTTCCAATTATCTCTACCCGTACGCGCAGCCACGTACGCATCACCCCGCACGCAAGCCTGGATCACTGCCACAACCCACCCCCTTCGCCGTACGTACGAGCGAAAGACAAAAATCGGGAGAATGAGAATAAAAAAAGAGAGGTAAAAAAAAAGGGAACGAAAGAAAGTCTGGTTCTCGTATCAGACGGAAATCCCCCTTTGTGATACGTGCAAGCTCGCCGAAAAACACGGGGAGAAACAAAAATATAGACAGAGGTGGGCTCGTTTAATTTTGCGGTTTAATTATTTTTTAAATTAAAGCCGGACTCGCGAGCGGGCGCACCAACACACAGCGCGTATGCAGTTTTCTCCACACACACGCGCGCGCGATCCATGTTTTATATTCCTTCCAGAGATACGTTCAGAAGTCCGCGCGATGCACGGGGATAGTAAAGGGATGAGAAGCGAATGGAAGAGAGACCGCAAAGCGGGGGACGGTTTTGAATGTGAAATACCGTCTCCGGCAAGGGTCTCCGCCGAGCCACCACCGCGGGCGGCAGAAAGGGGTTGGGCAGGGGGGTGGCTGATTGTGCGTCCGTTCGTTCACCGAGCTCGCGCGCGATGCGAAACACGAGGGTGGGTAGCTAGGCACGGGAGAGGAGAGAAAAAAGGAGAGCGCGGAATAAAAATGTAAAACGCGACTCGCCTCGGGCTTTTTCTCCAACGTGTGTGAGGATGCGGTCAGTATGTATGCGACGCGCGCGGCTGTGTGAAAACACACGAACGACCCTACCCGTCTGTTCGCAAAT